CCGCCCTGACGGCCGGCACCCGTGCGGCGCTGTCCAGGCCACCTGCCGGTCCCCACGTCTCTGCCCAGGAGGCCCCCAGGCCTCCGCCCTCGGGTGCCACCAGCTGGCACCGCTCTGGTTTCCAGAAAGGAGACAAGGTGCCGAGTCCTGCAGGACGAGCGGTGCCCCGCTGGGAGCTCAGCGGCCCCACCTGCGTCCCAGGGAGACCAGGAAGGGCGGCCCCTGGCTGCAGCCCCTGCAGCAAGCCGGGCAGCACCCCGCTTTCCACCGTGTGAGGCGAGGCCAAGTGCCACCGCCACACTAGCACCCCGTTCTCATTTCTTCCCCAGAATCTTTATCACATTGTCAATGCAGCACAGTGACCGGTGCTTGGCGGCCGGGCCCGAGCTGCTGGGGGTGCCCAGCCCCCGGCGTCCTCTGGAGCCCGCAGCTCCCAGTGCAGGTTTGCGAGTCTGTGACATCTTCCAAATCGTGACGTTTAACTTGGGGAAACACTGACCCCGGTGGTGTGCGGGCTGCGGGCGGAGGGGGCGCAGGGGCCCATACCGGCCACACAGCGGTGGACGCAGCACCGGCGCTGTTCCCCACACGCAGACACAGAGGGACACAGAGCCCCTGAGCTCACGGCCGCTGGGCTGGAGGCCGGCCCACAGGCCACGGCCTGAGGCCACAGCAGCCTCGGCCCTGCGGGAGTGCTCTGCCACGCGTGGCTTAGGTCGGTGCTCGCCAAGGGCTTGTCCCTCAGGAGCCTCCTTCCTGGTGTCCAGGCAGGCGGGGCTGTGCCCTGTCCACTCCTGGCCTTGCGTGGACGTCGTGGGTCCGGAGGCATTAAGGGGCCCTATGTGCTGGCTGCAGAGCGTCTGTTGGGTGCAGACCTTGGGGGCACTGTGGGGAGCGCAGGGGCACGCCTGGGGGGCGTGGGGGCACCCTGGAGGGTGGAGGGGGCACCCCAGGGGTTGTGGGGGGCTCACCCGGGGGCACGGGGCATGCCTGGGATCATGAGGGCACCCTGGAAGTTATAGGGGGCACTCCAGGGGTCATGGGGGGCACACCTGGGGGGCGCAGAGGCACCCTGGAGGGTGTAGGGGGCACCTCCGGGGTCATGGGGGCACACCCGAGGGTATGGGCACGCCCAGGGGTTGCGGAGGCACCCTGAGGGCCCCGGGGCTCCCCGGGGAGTGTAGTGTGTCAACCCTGAGTTGTGGATAAAGGTTGACTCCAAATTTGTAGAATGTCATTGCGAAACGGTGACAGAGATGTTTGCACATCATTGGCTTCTTGGCTGTTTTGCCCTTTCAAAACCGCAGCTCTCTATTTCTCCGGCGCAGCTTTCCCCTGCTTCCACACAGACGCCCTGGGGCGCCTGCTCCCGGGACCCACAGAGTCGGTGGTGCTGGGCCCCGGGCCTGGGCCTGGTCCCGCCGGGCAACCCCGGGCAGGAGGCCCCCTCAGAAGGGCAGACACACCTGCGCATTTCAGCCACCGGAGCTGCACTCAGGAGGCCCCAAGGACAAGGACGGAAACAGAGAAAGGGGGCAGGCTTCACTCCGTGGCTGGCGGGGGCAGCACCTGGCGGGGACAGCGGACTCAACGGACAGTGAGGAGCAGGCCTGGCGGGGTGGGGGGCCCGGGCTCTGCCCCGGCCCCAGCAGCACAGCCCTCGCGTGCAGCAAGGGCAGCAGCGGGGCTGGGGCTCTCAGAGCTGCACGGAGGGCGGCCAGCAGGTGAGGCCAGCAGGTGAGGCCCGGCTTGGCCCCGGGCCGCCTGGAACTTCCCGACCTCTGCTCCCCCCATCCCAGCGGATCCCCATTGGACTGGACGGGGTCCCCGGGGTGCTCCCCCGCGGGGCTGGACGGGGGTCCCCGGGGTGCTCCCCCGCGGGGCTGGACGGGGGTCCCCGGGGTGCTCCCTCGCGGGGCTGGACGGGGGTCCCCGGGGTGCTCTCTATGCGTGACGTAAAGGGGCGCCTGATCCGCCAGCGCCCGCGCGTCGCCGGCCTGGGGGAGGAAGCCCCCCGGCTCGG